TAGTAGTTCTGTAGTCTCTATAGAGATATTCAATTGATTTTTGAAGAATTTGAATATTGAAGATTGTGCTTAAATTGATTATAGTTCCTTTCCACTGTATCACATTAACAATTACAAAAAGATAAATCCAGTTAAATCCTGCACAATTTTAAAATGTCACAAATTCAACGATGTAATTTTTTCACAAATCTCAAAAAAACTGATTTTAACTTTCAAAGCTTGTCATGATAAATTCTATGATGAATTAATTCAATTTGTAATTTGAATTTAATTTGCTGTATTTGTTATCCAGAATTGTAAATGCTATGAAAAAATGGATTCGTTGTTCAAAATTATACTGAATGGTACTAGAGTAAGTCTTTGTTTTGAAAGTCAGATGATTCTATTCAGGGCTACAACTGTAAATTGAATGCTTTGGACTATCATTAAATCCTAAGCACTTTTTGATATGCTTATCATTCTTTAATATGATCTGACTATTAATCAGGAGCGTACCAGGACACGGAAGGAGAATTTGGTATTGATGAACTAATTTCGCAAGTGTTAAATCGATTAAAATTTTCATAAGGGGGGGGGGGGGGGGGGGGGGGTCAGCAAGAAAAGAACAATAGAAATTCCAGGAAAAAATCCATTGTTCTTTTTTGAAAAATGACCGTTAATTTCGGACGTCATAAGTGAACGACCCCTAACAACATGTATGAGTTTCAAAACCTTGACTGAATAAAAATTGTTCAAAATATCTTATCAAATTGATAGCGTATAAAAAATGTTCAATCAGGAACTGAAAACCTTTTTCTCTCATTGTTTACCGGATACACAATTGCTTACAAGCAGAGCTCGAAGTCGATAGGGTTCGAGTCAACTCGAATCGACTTTGAGCTCTGCTTACAAGTCTCAGATCTAATAAGTGAATGATCTTTCCTCAATTTGATTGGCAGTTGCAAGAATTTCCTGTCTAAATTCAGATCCAAGTTCTTCGTTAATCCTTCTGGACTAGGAAGCTCTAATAATGAACCACTTAAAACACGTCACTAAAGTTTTAAGTACTAAGTTTTTTAAATATTGCTGACCGCCTACATTAGAATAACCTGCAAAACTCAAGATCATTCAAATCTATTAATCATGTAGCTAGCAATTCTTATCTAAAATTTATCATATCTAAGAACGGATCTTCATCAGCATGAATTGTTAAATATCGATAGCACTTCAAACTTAATTTTAAGTAAGCAAATAGATAAATTTCCATCACTTCATAATCGTTTCATGCTCCATAACAGCATCTAGATAAGGTATGTCTGCAAAAAAAAATTTCCTAACAAATTTGCACAAACAAAAGTCTTGACAAAAATTTATTAAGCCTGATTTTTATTTCAAACATTTAAAACATACATTTATTTTGAAAGTTAATCCTACCTTTTTGCACACAGCATGAGAGAATTCTTTACAAAATCAGCAGTATCAGTGACAGCGGGTCCGAGTGTCGCTTTGATGTTGCTACAAGGTTTGTAAACAAACATTGTTTTACGGCCTTTTCTGCCTGTTTAAGAAAAATTTTTATTGCATAAAAATTCATCATTGACATTTTTTGTTCCTTCATGCTGATTTTGTAGACTTCATACCTTTACCTGTTCGCACTTCTATCCTTTAAAAAATTCTCTGTACGTTCGTAAAATTGCACTGTTGTTGTAACTAATCGGATGACTTTAAATTCAAGGATTTTTCTTAATCAACCTTAACGTTATGCTTAATGGAACTTTATTATCTCTTTTTTTAAAAAAGAAATAATTTTTGTTTTCAATTCCAAATAGAATCCTGTCAAGCATGTCACGATTGCATTCGATTTGCATTTAAACTTTTAAATTATTGTGAAAGTATTCAAAATATTGTCAAAACTGTTTAAGTAATTTCTGATTTTAAGGCATGAAAGTAAATTCCTGCAGATAAACAATTTCTGAGAATTTCAGTGCCACACGCATTGAGCTTAAAGGCATTCGAGCATCAAAATGTAGATTTAAAGGATGATGAAGTGTTGAATATGATTTGAAATTGTATCCAATTGAATAATTTCATGTATGAAGCTTGAAATATATTCGGATGTTGCTAGATTACTTTAATAATACTTAAACCTACGCATTACGCTTTTATAGGATGTAGAATATTGAGGCAGAAGTTTTTTTGCGAAATGTATCATAAGTATTTATGAGGTGAGAATCAAGTGATGTAGGAAATTGTAAGTAGCAGCATCCCACGCATACTGAACAAATTACTTTAAGTAGACTGGTTAGCAGCTTTACACATGCAATGACTATAAGGAGTTGAAAATCAATTAGCTCTTACATTTTAACAAGTTTTGATAAAATAACTTTGCAGTAGCTTGGAAAATTGTATTGAACCTTGAAGAATTGAAGCTATAGGATGATGGATTGATGGTAACATCCTTTCAACATTTTTATTGTGAAGTAGATTTGACGATGATTGATTCTTATTGATCTATTGTGAATCATGAGTCGTTAATAAAGTGATATTTGTTTGAGGCTATTTTGTATTGCTGATCCTTGATGAGTTTAGTAGAGGTATAAGTTGAACTACATGAACACAGAAGCTCTACTATTAGACTATCAGATATGCTTAACTTCAGTTCAATTAGATTCAAATCGAAATCATCTGTTGCCTGTTCATTCTATATTGATTGTCAAACCTAATTATTAAAGATTAACATTACAATTTAAAAATTTCATGAAAATCCCGTCAAAATAATCCCAATAGCCCAATGTAGTTTCCCAACAAGATCATCATCAAAAGAGTCCTCAACAAATCTCAATTATCTAATTGAATCGATATTTTGCCGGCAAATTTCAAACATTTCTCACTCATGTAACCTCCAACAAAGCAATTTCCTTCAAACCATAATGATGACAAAAGCCATTATCATTCCCATTTCCATTATCTCAAATATTTATAGTTCGCATTACAGAAATTACAATTGTATGAAAGCATGAGAAAATTTAATAAATAGAGGACCTCCAGTACAGACCGTTTAAGATCAAAGTGACACTGAATAGAAATAAGTAAAAAATGGCAAGAGAACAAAACAGATCTCCTGTGATATTGTTCCTTACTATACTTTTTTTTTTCGCACATAAAAGGCTCTTTTGAAGAAAGCAAGTGAATTCTAAAAGGAAATGATGCATGAAGAATCATTTAAAGCCTTGTTAGTACGCAATTCGTCATGTCCTTAACTCTCTTAAATGTCGCACACACACGAACATCAGAGAGAGTTGTTCGGGGCCACACAGATATGTCTTTTGTGTCATGGATGATGTAAGAAGCCGATACTTTTATTTGTTTATTTTTATTTGAAAAATGCCGCTTCTTAAACATACTCACTGCTGTTTATTGTAGTTGACAATTACATACCAAAAAGTCCAATAATAATATCACCATATGAAATGTTTTTCTTAATTTTTTATTGACACAAAATATTAAAGTGTTGAACTGAAATGGTAAATTTCAGCTTTTATTGAAATGCTATAAAAAATCCGAATAAATAACCCACCGTGTGCGAATTCATGGCGTTTAAATTAGCAATTTTGTTCGAAATTCCTCGCCATAAAACCAGCGAATAAATTATTATTGACTGTAATAATTTTAAGCGGTTGCTGGAAATTTAAGATCAAATTTTTAATTTTAAGTGCATAGTCTTCTGGATAATATATAGGACAAGAAGTAAATCTTGGAAGCTTAAGCAGATTTAAGGGTCGTGTGCGGAATTCTTATCAAATTGACTCATTAAGCCTTTGTTTGCGAGATCTGCCTTTGGGAATCAAACCACCGTCTTAATAAAATAGAGTTGCAGATATCCGTGCATTGCCTTGCCATTAGCGCCACAGAATCCTTACTATCGCACTAGTAGAATCCCCTACATATGGCTCGATATCCTAAATTCTACTCTGACTCAAAACTACAACAGTAAATGTCAAATTAAATGATGATTTGCAATTCAGCTTAGAGCAAGACTTAGACACCAATAGAAAAATTAAATAATCTTAATGACTAAAAAATCTGATGTTTGTCTGAACTTTGACTTAGAGACTGCAGTTCATCTGAATCTTTAAATAAACATGAATCAAGGGTTTATTCAGAATGTCTGAGAATTTTCTGGAGCACTGTCATGACAACAATTGAAATCCTTGCTCTCAATAGATTCTATAGAAAACCAGCAGTTTGTAATGATTTAGATGTAAATATGATCTGTAATATAGTTTAGCAGTAAATGCAGTATGTTTTAGTTCCTTTGAAAATTTAAACAGCCAATTTAATCTAATTCTAGGGATCATTACTAAAAGTATGTATCATGTGACTAAGCTTTGATCAAGCCTTTTAAATCCAACAATCTATGCAACTATTCAGCATATTATAGCTTCTACATTTACCACAAATATGCCATAAAATGCATGACAACAAATTATTTAATGATAAATTAAGTTTGATTTGAAATCGCATAAAAATTAATCAATTTAAATTTTTAAATGACATCAATACCAGCCATAAAAAGAAATATCCAGTTATTGTTAAGAAGAAGGAGATCAGTGACAAATTCTGCATGAGCACTGTTCTTGGAATAATTTTTATTTGTCTTGAAATAACGATTTTTAAAAATTCAAATGCTGAATTTGGTCAAGTCAAGTTACATTTTGTTGTGTTAAGTTGACTTGAACGAAAAGTGTCAAGACTATTTTAGTGTATTTATTAAAGAAGTTTAAACTTGATGGATTTAATTTTAATCCAATTCTTTTGCAGTCAAGTTCAACTTAATGGATTTAAATGGTAAAAAGTCAAGTAATGAGCTTGAAAGTCAGTTTAAAAGAGATCATCTTTTACTTGATTTCATATGCTTTAATAGAAGATAAGACAATAAGAATTCTATAAAAATGTGGATTATTTTAATCAAAAATGGATGATTCTGCAATCAAGAAAATTCAAATAAAATACGCAAATATTTAAATTCAGTCTTTTTATTCTATTTGACACTTGTCCATGCTTTGCAAATTTTTCATCAAAAATTTAATAGTCTGATTCTTTTGTGGGATTTCTTTTGACAGGTTCTAATCTCAACAATTTTGTCCCTTCATAACTACATTTAATTTTGATTCCAAATTTTTAATAATCTTCATTTAACATCCAGAGCTGATTAAAACCAACAAAATCACCCACAAAAAAATCATTTCGGATATAATAATTTCATATGTCACTTTCTAAAATCTATAGAATTTTTCAAAATAGTTTAATACCTCAAATAACAATTGCATAGGCTTCCGTTAAATTTTTTGATTTTAATACTCATTGATTATAGGTTTGAAGAAAAATGCATGAGGCACTTAATTAAATAGCACATTATAAAGTCTTTTTCTACATCAGAAAGAAAGATCTACAAAGAAATTGAATCTCTTCTACATCTTTAAATTGATTGATTTGGCATTTCGTTCTTTAAGTATTATAATTAAATATTATTGATTGTGTTTTATGCCTGAATGGCTAGATTGTGGAATGACTTATGAATTTTGATACATTGGCAAGTTAAATGCTTAATCACATGTCATTGGTTCCACAGATTCAGTTACATTCAGACACATCATTCTAATGTTACTTAAATAGCTACTCTGAGGTTTACAAAATTTCTAATTTTCCTTTCTTTTTCATATAAATTGGCACAATTGTTAAATTCAAAGAACTTTCTTTATTGCATCGAGGAGTTTAAAAAATGCGCTTTAACTTATTTTTTGATTTGATTGATTACTTGTTTAACTTTTAAGTACTTACACGAGGAAAAAGCTATCAATTTTTATCACAATTTCTAATATAATCTATGTACAAAACTATATTCAATATGATTTATTATTGGTACTGCCATTCATGCTGCCCATATAAATATTTGCACCATAACAGCTGTCTGCAGACCTCTTAGAACTTTTTACAGATATTGGCGTATAATTTGAGTCGGACTCGCAAACATCCGTACTGCATGGAGTGGTTGGTGGTGCCTGATTTATTACTTTATAATGTTTGTATGGATAATTATTGTGCAGTGTTGATGTTGTGGCTGGTGATGGAGGTGGATTTGATGGATATCCTATTAGACTTCCATTTGTTGTGGAACTACTAGCTCCCGTTATATTATTTCTATCATAACTATTCATACTATTCCTACTCATTGTCGTTAGCCGTACTGCGTCAGCTACAGACGTTATCTTCGTTACTCGAAGACTATTTAAGTTTAAGGCACCGGGCGAAAGCGGTGCTGATGCTTGATCCTCTTTTGGTTCACGAATCGTATCAGTAAATTTGTTACGACATATTTGTAGTATATACACGACAAAAAATATTATTAAAACTAGTACTATTAAAATGACAACAAATAATTTCTTATCAGACGGCGGTGGCTTTGTTGTGACGACATGACAATATTCATTCGTTTCATCTGAACCGTCTGCACAATGATCCCAGCCATCACACAAGACAGTTTGTGGTAAACAAACATGATTACTGGCACATTGAAAATCTCCTGGATTGCAGCACATCGCTTCATCACCGCCGTCTGAACAGTGAGTCGTTCCATCACATACAAAGCTTTTGTCTATACACTCGCCCGTGTTACAGCTAAAAATGACAAGCAATCAATAATATGATTCTGAATTAGCATTAATTAATATTTACCGGAATTGATCGTTGTTACACGTTGGGCAGTCCATTTCATCTGACTTATCAGGACAATCATTCTGACCATCGCCTAAAATTAAATAATACCCAATTATAAAGATTGTAAGGAACATTCGAAAATTGAAACTTACATCTCCAAGCATAAGGAATGCAATCACGATTATCGCCTGAATATCCATTACTTGTGTAAGGTGAAGCGCATGTAAAATGATCAGGTCCACACACAGGCAACGCAGCACAGCTTTTCTTATCTTTCAAAAGTATCAAACCAGCTGGACATGAGCAAAACTCATCAGCTTTACTGTTATTAGATGTAGCTATGCAAATATGCGTGCATTTATTTCTAGATGACATACATAAGTGATTCTTAATAACCTTTGGTTCTGGATGCCATACAGCTACTATATCTGTGATATGATTATATTTCTTTTCTAGCTTCAGAAACTCTCCATTTAATGTTGCTTTTTCTAGTCCAAACTTATCATCCAGCCAGTAGATGACGTTTGGAAATGCAGCAATCGAATGAACTTGATTGATGTTATTTGCAATTAGGACTTTCCTGATTGATTAAAAAACTTATTGATTAAAATTTGTGGGTATGAATAGCATATAAAAATACTGTACCTATTTCCTCCATTTATGTCCATATACTCAATCTTCCTTCCGTGAGCGAAATACACCAAATTAGAGATTGGATCAACTGCAAGACTTGTAACTCCTTCCAATTGAATTGCAAAGACCATACTACTGCTGCCATCCAATTTTGCTCGAATCACCGCTTGTCTGCTTCCAACATCAGTCCAAAAAAGCAGTCTTTTTGTAGGATGAACAGCAATGCTTCTTGGCTTTTCAGAATTTCCAGTATCGACAGTTCCAATTGCGTATCCATCAAGACTTTAAAAAATATAATTAATAGTTTCTTTGTGAATATTTTAAGGAATAAAAGAACTTACTTTGTGATATTGATTGTATTTGCATGAGAGCATGTCCAAAAGAGCATTCGTCCAATTATGTCAACAGCTAAATCAAAAGGCTGAGAATGACTTCCAGATCCACCGATTAATAAAGTTGGTTTTGTTCCATTCTCTAAAGACTTTTTGATCTGTCCTCGTCCATCGATCTGTAGATCACAAACTCATATTAATAAAGGAACTAAAATTAATAATAATTATTTCTTACCCAATAAACGTAGTGCTGAATTGGATCATATTCAACTGCTCTGATGTATTTTGTAGACACAGTCAATGAAGCGTCTGGAGAATCACTAGAATTTGGTAATAATCTTCCAAAAGATGTCTTCATGCTATAAATTAAGTAGCTTCTTGGTGGAATACAACTGACTTCATCACTTGCCAATGTATGGTGTGTTGGACAGGCACAGGTGTACTATAGGATCATCAAATGTCATTAAATAAATATAAACTCGGTTACACATCTACAAACCTTCTTCCGTTGTCCCGGCAATGTCAAGCATAAATGAGAACATCCACCATTATTGACACGACAAGGATTAGTTCCAGTTTGTTTGCTGCTATGAAAAAGAACAAGACTCGATGCTTCTCCTAGATTTTTATAGACCAATGTACGATTATATCCAGTTACTTTATTAGCACGTTCAATATCTCCACTATTCCAATCAACCCAATAAATGAAATCTTGATGAAGTGTCAAAGATCGTGGCATAAATGAGATTTCAGCATCACCTCCATCTAAATTCAATAATGTTCTTCTCTTTCCATCCCAATCAACTGATTCTATGCCTGTTGGTTCCACTTCTGTTGACCAATAAAGTCTTCTGCCTTCTGAATCGATTGTCAAGCTTGTTGGATTATTTGCATTCGAAACAATTGTTTGAATATCAGTGCCATCTAACGATGCTCGTTTTATTGTATCTGATGGTCTTTCTGACCAAAACATGTAGCCTTTCTTAGGTTCAATTACTAAATTTTTAGGTTCTTCAATTCCTTTCCATACAAGAATCTTTCGACTTGTTCCATCTAAACGTGAAACTTCAATTCTTTTGGCATCAGAATCAGCCCAAAATATATTTCGACCAATCCAGTCTACAGCAACAGCTTCAGGTGATACTAAACCTAAATCAATAATCCTTTGAACATCAGATCCATTGATATAAGCTCTTGAAATTGTTTTAAGTTTCTGATCAATCCAATAAATTCTACGATCACTTATGTCTACATCCATATTGACAGCATCTCGAACATCTTTTAATGGAATAATGTGATCGTTGTAGTTCTGTTCATCACTAAATTCAATACTTAATCTTCCAATATTGTCGCCTTTTGCAAATAACATAAATGCTGTCGGTAAATTGCAGCTTTTACGATCTTTTCCAATTTCATAGTCAACTTGACATCTACAGACATAATCATGGGGTCGATTAAGGCATAAATGTTGACATCCACCATTTTTATTCATGCATGGATTTGTGCCTTTAATGTCTTGCAGTTTTGTAACTTTTAATCCCATTAATTCTGGAAAATTGTCAGCAATAGCGATTCTCTCACTTCCAGTATTTTTATTAGCTCTTTCAACTTTCCTGCTTTGCCAGTCACTCCAATAGACATGATTTCCAAGTACACTTAGACCAAAAACATGTGGTAAGTTTTCATTTAGAAGAACTCTTCTATCTGTTCCGTCCATATTTGCAAATTCAATCTTGTCGAGTTTCGCATCACACCAATAAACTTTTTTCATCTCAATGTCTAAAGTAATTCCATTTGGCCATCCAATATCGTCCATAATAAGTACAACTCGTTCAGTTCCATCAAGTGATGATCTTTCAATTTTTGGTTTTCGTCCCCAATCTCCCCAAACTTTACAAATAAGAAATAAGAATTAAATGCTGAATAGGTTCTAAGTTATGAGTATACTTACACATCCATCCAAGTGTTGGTGCTACAGCAATTCCTCGAGGTTCTTCTAAATTATTATTGATTAATACTCTTCGGTAAAGTCCACTCAGCCTAGACACTTCAATTCTATCAGATCCAGAATCTGTCCAATAAAGATTTCTTGCAATCCAATCGACTGCCAATCCATCAGGCTGCTTAATTTCTGTATTAATTACATCACTTATTAAAGTTCCATCTTGTCTAGATTTTTTGATTACTCTTTGATCTTCATCAGACCAGAAAATTGTATCGTCAACTGGATCATAGTCGATAGATATTGCTGATCGAACTTTTCCCAATGATAATGGAAAGCACGTGTAATCTGGTGAATCCAAACTAATTCGACTAATTTGTGTTCGTTGTACAAGAAAAATGACATTTTGTGGACCATTAGCGCATTGTGTATCTGATATCAATTTCACACCCGTTGGACATGCACAGGAATATTTCTTTGAACTTGTCGACGACAGCAAGCATAAGTGAGAACAATTTCCATTATTTGTTCGACATGGATTCGGCGATGATGGCTGAAGAGCATGATTCCATGCATGAACAGTTATGGGAACTTCTGAAGCATCAATTACTTCTTTCTCTTCACCCGTCGTTAAATCGTAGGAATTTATTTTTCCTGCATTCCAATCACTCCAAAATAGCATATCATTTATGTACGTTACACTATACGGATAATTTAAATCTCTCAATATCGTCCGACGTCCAGTTCCGTTTAAATTCATAACATCCAAAAATTGAAGTTTACCATCCACAAAATAAATCAAATCGTTCTCAATGTCAACCTATTGAATATAATTTAATTATTGAAAATTTATTGGCATCATCAGCAGTCGTTTGGAAGTGATGTCTATAAACATTTGGACCCAAACTTTCATAAATCTTGAAATAGTCACAAAAAAATGATTCCGCAAAGATTGTCAATAAAAAATAATTTATCGATGCACAACGCTTTTTGTGGGAAAATTCTCATTTTGGTAGACTCAGTTTACGTCATTTGCTATCGATTTATAGTACCGACATAAAAATTTTAAGAGTCAGTGTCAATAAAATCGCTAATCACTAATAATAGCATGAATATTCTATATCACGATATGCTAATTTCTGCCAGACTAAGGGATTGGCAAATTATGACTTTCCATTGTTTCAAAATTAGTAGTCATAAAAGTTTATCAATTAACTCTAAAATTGTGATACTGGATCTATTTTCAAAACTTTACTGAATTGAGAATCAACTCAAACAACATTGGATACTCGAAAGAAGCTATTAAATCTCCTATTTCTGTTCATGAGTACAGCACGACTTCAATCTTTCTATAAACAAACAGAATTATGAAAGCGAGTTCCAAAAAGTCGTAAAAATTTCATTTAAAAATGATGTCACCAGAAGAAGAGTAAAATAACGGATTGTTTAAGATGAAACACTTCCAAAAGTATTTAGTAATTTACTTTATAAACTTACAGTAAGTCCATTAGGCCAATAAATGTTATCACTAACGAGTATCATTCGACTGTCTTTATCGCCATCCATTGAGGCTCTCTCAATGCGCGGCACTTCACCCCAATCACACCAAATCATCAATTGATGTGCAGGAATCAGTGATATTGCTCTAGGTTGATCCAAATCAGACCAAAACAGCAATTTTCTGTATTTTCCATTCAACGTTGTCACTTCTATTCGATTAAGTTCACCATCAACCCAATAAATTTTGTCTGTATACCAATCGATTGCTAGACCTTCTGGTTTCTCGATTCTCTTTGTAATTATGCTGACTTTATCTACTTTATCAATATTTTCTGCTAATTCATCTAATTCTGACTGTCCTGTTGGCTGTACGTCTGTATAAAAAGTTGAGTTCATTTTCTTGCATTGTATCGCTTCCATTCCTTGATCCGTCCAACATATTAACTGCTTATCATAATAAAAATCTAATCCGGCTGCTTCAACCAAGTCTTTTGTAATTGTTGTAATGCTGTTAACATGATTCTGTGACAAATTTGCAATGCGTATATCATGATATGTTGTAAATATGAGAAGGGTTGGTGATGATGATGATGATGATGATGATCTATGTGAAGCAAGTGTATTTCTTAATGTTGATGGTTGGCCAGCATCTGTATAAAATTTCAAGAGGAACGAGTGAATAAAAAAAAAAGAATTAATAATCAAATACGCGCATGCTGAACATCATAAATTTTCTTTCTTTGAATGAATAAGGGGTTACAAGTGTTTTAAATAACATTTTTTAAAAATGTTTCGAGAAGATTTTACAGCATCACATAAGCACTTGACCAGCTATCAAGAGGTACGTGTTTTATTCAAGCCAGCTGTTGAGTGAACTTTTCAAAACATTCTTTGAAGTGTGGAATGTCTTAATGGTTGCGTTTTTGTCTAATTGACTGTATCCTGGATGAAAGAAGTTTTCATTCTAAGATCAATTTGGACTTTGTGAGGAACTGTATCGGTTAATTCTTAGTCAGAGACAAGGGCTATTCCTAAATGATGTACATTTATTTCCATATTTGGAATTGAAAATGGTCTTAAAATTTATTAAAAAGGGCTTTAATAAAGATAATTAAGAAGAAGAAGAGTTTCAGCACTTAAACGATAGATTAAGGGTTTTAGAGACAACATCGAGAATCTCTGATTAAAACTTAGACAATGAGTATTCTTATGATGAATGCCACACGAAAATGAACCCAAAATATCCGATCAATAAAAATCATAATAGATCATATGCTTAGACTAAGTTTTTATGCAAATTTTAACCAAATTATAGCGCAGCATTCCAAAAATCCAATGAAATGCGCTAAAAAACCGCCATAAGCAGCAGCAATGCAACACTTTCGTCAAACTCATTATTCAATATATGATATTGAGCACTCATAATACTTGCAATTGTTCATTCTGAATATAAGCATGGAGAACGAGTAGAAAGATTAAAATCTTGTGCAGTTGGGAAATATACTTCATCATATATTGCTAACGAGAATTTTGTTTTCTCTTTTTATTTTATTTTTGTGTGTGCTGTTTTGTATTCTTATTATTATTCGTTCTTCTCGTTCTCTACTTTTTTATTCTTCAACTATGTAATAATGTTCAATTATTGAGCAGCAAAATAACAAAAGGAAAAAAAAGTAAATAAAAAAAGATGCTAAAGAAATTTTGTTCCTTTTCTGTACACCACACTGTACTTGTCTTGTTTATATATAAACGCAAAAGGCAAAACGAATATCCATCACATGTAAATCGAGAAAGAGATTCTTAAGAATATACGTAAAAAAAAATAACAATATTGAAAGAGGATGGAAAGAAGGAAGAGAGAAAGAAGAGGAAAAAAAAGAATACCTATATGAAAGCAGCAAGCAATTTATTAAAAAGACGAATTAATGATGTGTTAAAAAGCAACAACAAGCCACCACGCAAGAGTATATACGAATATCAAGGTGAAAGCATAACCAGAGATAAATAATAAGAAGAAATACAACAATAAGATGATGGAGAATTAATCGCACAATAAAAAGAAGATTATTTAGACATGCTTAAATGCTACATGGTGCCATTGACTAAATGATACTTAGTGCATAATTTTTTTTTTTTTTCTATTCTCTCTCCATCCTTCTCGCGGTTAACAAGATATAAGACAGATTTTAATTGACACGAACAAGCAAATTATTAAAGCAGCTAGAAACTATACACAAAAAAAAAGTAAAGAAGAATCGCTTGCCAAACAGAAACAAAATTTATTGCCGTACATTTTTTTTTGGACGGTGAAAATTAATTATGCGAGAATTGAGAAGTTTCGCGATTATAGCTTGATATGAAATGATTTTAACAAGCTTGCTGCAGCTGAAACTTTCGTGAGGGCCTTAAACAGTAAAATGAGATGAGTATGTGAGGCACTGACTTGATGTTAACAATGTGAAGCATAATTTTGAGTTATTCATGGAATGTGAAGTTGAAAGTAAGCGATTAATAGTTGGTTGAGTATGAACAAAAGCAATTGCACTTCAAATTGTCTACAAATCTACAGGAATTGAGCAAGAACATTTTTCATAATTACTGTTATCTATAATTTCCAAAATTTCTGATCAATATGACTTTCAGAAGTCATGAAATTCATTTTTCGAATCACTTAGTGCCACACAGTACAATGTCGTTAAGATAAAGTCAATATTATTCATTTTGCCTGATAACATGCAAGACAAGTGCAGAAATATAAAGCCACATTTTATCATTTTTGACATGCTCTTAATTTTTGACATGCATTTGATTTTAAAGACAGTCAAGACAATATGATTGTGTCAATCGGGATGAAAAAGATGAAGGTGTGTCAGAAAACCTGCTCATCATTCTCGTCAATAATTGTAATGAACATTATTTCTTTTGGCCTTTTTTTTTTCTTTCATTTTCTTCTTATTCGTTCTTCTCTTTAACGTTTATTTCATTTCTTATGATCCTCGTTCACTGAATTTTGATAAATTTTTATGTAGATTTCTTGTTGGGCTTGGATTTTTCATTCATTCTTCTTTTAAGGAGATAGAGACAGAGACACAGAGAGAAAAAGAAATTCTGTTTATTTAAAATCTGATGTTATAAAACTAAATGTTATACGAGATTTTGTGTGTGGATATGTTTCTTTCTTCTTTAAAATAAGAAAGAGGAATGATCAGAGTTGAATCGAGTCAATAATTGGGAGAGAAGTGATTGAGAAGAAACGAAAGCAGCATATATACCCTGATTATGTACGTTTTTTTTTCCTCTTTTCTTTTTTTTTACGTATAAACAAGATTTTTTAATTAATTACTTATCTTGCGATCATTGTTCTCGTGCTGAGAGGGATTTCGTTTTTCTTTTCTCAAATAATTTTTTTTTTCTATCTATTTTGCCTAAGTCATAAATTTAAACTTTTTACATTTAGATATAAAAGAAGGAACGGAAAGAAAAAGAACCTCATGAAGAGACGAAAGACGTACAAGCAAAGCAAGCACAGCACAGATCGTATATTTTTGGATGTATATATATTTTAATCGAGTGTATACTTACAAGCTCCATTGATGATGATGATGAGGAACAGCAAATTTGTTAATAACTTCCAACAAAATAGATTGCGGAATTTTTTCATAATTTTCTTTTCACACAAAATAAATTATAGACTTTTCTGTCTTCCTTTATCTCTTTTGTGTTTTAATGGTTTTAATATAAAAATAAAAACTGTATTATTTAACACTTATGCCGGTTAAAATCGGCGACATAAGCTTATAAATATTGTATCATTCACATTAGCACTTATTGTTCCTTTCTCTCCGTTTTTGTTTTTGCTGCTGCGTTATTCAGTCAATTTTATTAAATATATTAATAAACTCTTCATTATGACATTATTATTCTCATTATACACATTCTGATCAACTTTTTATTCTTAATTTGCATATTATCTCCTTATTATGATCATTAATTCCAATTTAACAACACTTCTGGATCTTTTTAAATCATTTGGAAGAACCAATTACTTTGCACTTTAAAATTTTCCACTTTTCAATGCGAATTTCAATAAACGATCATCTTCCTCAGTTTCTCTAGACACTTAACTAGCCCTATGAATTATTTTTGTTATTTAATTCACTTGCTTTAGCTGTATTTTAATTAAACTAATATGACAGTGATCGGATTCGATCGAAATTTATTTTAACTTGAGTTGGGACTGTAACTTTCTCAGTTTGAGATGGGAATGGATTTGAGAATTCTGAGAATTTTGAATTTTAAACAGCCGTTATGTTATTTCAATCCACAAAGCAACTACGATATCCAAAATAGGTACAACGATTCTATAGCACTAAAGAAAGTCCTGAATTTATAAGAAACTCATTAACATCCGTCTAGGCTCTTGGATCTCTGTTCAGCAGGAATGATCTACTGAAATCAAACTAAGCAAATGAAAATGTTGCTCAAAGTTGCTCATTTTTCAAAAATTCTGAAACCGTTACTATTTTGCTCACTTCATTGCTCATTGTTTTGTGTACGAGCGATTATTTCACGTGCGATTTAAATAAATTAAATTATAATGTCATCCTTTAAGAAGGCATCAAAATTAAACCAGAAAACTCATCGAGAACGTGGTCAGCCTAAGGCACGCGAGAAGCTAGGCTTATTGGAAAAGAAGAAAGGTACGAATTTAATAAAAAAATATCAAAATCATTTAAATCACAAACAATTTAACTTCCAGATTACAAAGTAAGAGCTCAAGATCGTAATGAAAAGGAAGAAACAATTAAGCTATTGCGAAAGAAGGCACTTAACAAGAATCCAGATGAATTTTATCATCACATGATTAATTCAAAGATCCAGAAAGATGAGCATTTTGAAAAGGATAAGGAAGAAGATTTAACGCCTGAACAAATGAAATTGATGGAAACTCAAGACAGTAAATACATTAATATGAAGCGAGTGATTGAGAGGAAAAAGATCCAGAGACTTCAAAGTCAATTACATTTTATCAGTCGTGAAAAGAAAGTCAAGAACCAGCATATATTTTTTGTTGACAATATGAAGGAAGCAAAGGATATAAATGAAACTTTACTTTTAACTAAAACAGGATCAAAGTTAAGTGAGGAAGCTATTCAATTGCTAAATCAAGAACGTGACAAATCTTACAAGGAATTAGAAAAGAGGAAAGAACGTGAGAAGGAACTGGCAAAGATCCAGCGTAAAATGTCAGTTAAAAATCTGACAAAAAAGCAAAAAAGTGCATTTAAACCAAAAGAGCTCCAAGAAGCTGCAAAATCATCTCATGTGATCTTCAAATATAAATATCAGAGAAAGAAGTGAATTAATTAAAGTTGATTTTTTTGTATGATGAATTAAGAAATAAATATAGCAATTTAAGTATCTCTTTATCGTTTATAATCTACTCACCTCAATGTTAATTAAGAACTGACACTTGCTTGATTGTGTACTGTAAGCACTTAAATTCACTTATAAATTTCAGAATCTACAGAGTTTGAATATTCCAGACCACTGAGATTAGAAAACTGTTGATTGATTGATCTTTTTGGTCTCTCGATAATCTCACAGTAGAAACGGTAGATATGACAAGTTATGTCATGCAGAATAAGTTTTAATATCGTAATAACGGAGAAATATTTCATCAAATTTAATGATCCAGTAATGATCAAAAAAGATCCAGTAGACTCTAAAAAGCACTGAAAGCACTAAAAGATAAAGCCAATTGATAAGTTACATTAATTTGTATAAGTATTTATTTCCACTTTTGAATTTTGGGAGCTTTTCCTTAATATTCCTCTCGAATTACAAATTAATTACAACTTCTGTTAAAATAAACATTATCTTAATGCTCCATTTATGTCCAGAATGACTAAAGGAATTATCGAATAACTATCTAGAATTCAAAAGAACGTCAATTAGTGATCTGGATATACTTTTGGTCAGTAGTAACCGCCCAGCGATTTTATTACTTACAGAATTTACTTCTTCAAAAGTTGATGACGGAGAACCAAGAAGGGAGCTCCAAATCCTGATCCGAAGAAGAGCATGAAATAGGCTGTAAGCTTAAATCTGTTGTGGATTCCGAATGGCAAGTTCTATAAGTTTTTTTGGAACAGAAAAAATCAATAGGTAACCTGATAGCTATTATGCAACTTAAAAATGGCATTTTTGGTGCCAAATCTTACCTCTCCTGGAATTCCACCATGTGAATGGTGACGAACGAAGTTTGTGAAAGTTGTTCTTGACAAATTGAGTGATCTTCCAATCATTTTGGCTCCTTTTTAAATAGATTCAAACTTGACGCGAAGGATTTTGCTGGCTCTTGAACAGTGAAAAACAGGGAGTCTTCGATTTAGATAACAGCTTGAATCTAGAAAAATCGTCAAAAACTATGTCATTTAATACGAGAACCCCTTAATGTTGTTCTTCGAATATGATGAACGTGAATTCAAATGTATTCCGAACGTTATAATCCTAGTTGACTCGAGTAATCATAATTTTGCATCGTACCTTAATTCTGTATTCCCAATCCTATAAGTTTCCTTTGGAACTGATTATTGCAGTTTAAAGTTTAAAGTCTATAAAGTGAATTTGATTTTCATTACAAAATCTGTCTAGCGCAGTCACTGAACGTAATTTAACTAGGATCTGACATATGAAGGCACTTAACTTCTTTTTTTCTTCGAGATGAATTCTAATGACATATCAAATTAATTGCTAGATTGTTAAGTGATTTTATATTAATCAAAACAATCTTTTTTTATTGCAAAGTTTTGTGAAAATATTTCATCATTTCAACACTTCTCTTCAATTGTTTTAAGGAAGGATTAAAATAAAGCACCACATTAAATCGTAAGTCCAATTTCTTCTTGCCTAGAACTTTTTAATTTAAAATTGAAAGAAAAATAAAATGGGGGGGTTAAGGTTGAAACTTAAGACTATGAATTGGGGAAATAGAGATAGCAGTACTAAGGTACTCACACTGGGTCTGTAGCTGCACCACTTTCTGATTAAACCAGAAAATCCAAAGAATTTTGGTAAGGGGCCGTTCAATTATTAGGTTACGCAAAAATACAACTTTTTTCTCCCCCCCCCCTCTCCCCCTTATTACAATATGTTACAACTCACAACCCACCCCACCCCCCCTGAACGTTCATAATTTATTTTATAATTAAAAAGGTGGAAAATTTAAAATAATGTTTTTGGTGTGAATTTGTAAACAAATTTTTTTCGCGAACTTTTTTTTAAAATACAGACGACAGTTAGAACGATACATAATTCTTGACACCACCCCCCACCCCTATGTTACATTTTGTTACAATTTTTCAACACCCCCCACCCCCTTCCTCTTAAAATGCGAACGTAATAAGTGAACGGCCCCTAATCAAGATGACATTTTTATGAATTATATTATATACTTGGGCGATTCTCCAGATAGGTTGAATTTTTAAAAACAGAACTGTAATTCCACTGCTACTTGAAATTTTTAAATTTTTGAAATACGTTGGGAAAAATGTAAACAAAGACTTGTTTACAAAAATAAAATTTTGTTTTAATTTATAAAAATCATTTTTTTTATATGTTTTAATTAAACAATAGGTAATTAATAATTAATATTGCACTCAATCATCATCGTTTCTTTTAAAAATATTCCATTTAAATTTATAACGTATTTGAAAAATTTGAATCTCACAAATTAGTTTCAAGCGCTTTAAAAATTACTCGAAGACAAAATTTTCATCAAAAGAATTGAATTTTCTTGTGAAATTTGTATTAAGCTTAATAAAATTGTTGTCATATATGATAAAGTAGTTCGTTTTCTATCGATTGGTATTTATATCATATGTCAAAGAATAGTTTTTAATACTTAATTTTTGATTATAAAAATCCAAATTCCATATTTTGTCTTCGAGAAATCGTCCGAAGAATCGAAATATTTCCTTAATTAGAGTATATTGAAAGCATTTAATTATACAGATTTGTAGAGTTTAAAAAGTTGTACAATATTAATTTGTCTTTTGAGGCTCTCTAATGGAAAAAAATTATAAAAAATTCATTTTAGTGGTGGTTTTTTGAAAATTTTTATCTGGAGAATCGCCCATAATTCATCCATAAATTTATAAATTTCACAACTGTTGAGCATGCAATAAGGAAAATTAATAAGGAGATTATAATAATCATTTATAAAAGGGTTTTATTTTACAAAATTAATTCTTATTTAATTATTTATTCAACTTAAATTTTGCTCAAATTAATTAACAGAAATTGAATATTGATAAAATGATTGAAAGCTTGTTGGTAATAAACTTAATTTATTAGCACAACTGGAAGATAACTTTTTAAGGGAATTGATCGCATAATTTGATTTAATTAGACGAATGAAGATTTTAAGTCAGATAAACAAAGTTTATCTTTTGAACTTAATGGTTGTTTCAAGAAATTAGCGACAAATTAAATCTTGAAAATTTTATATCAGAAATTAAAATTCGCTCAAATATGGTAAAAGTAGGTCCTTAATTTAACAACTAAAATAGAGTCAGCTGATTAATGACTAAGACCCTGATTAGACCAAATAATTTACTAAACTTGATTACGAATTAAACTTCATCAAGTCCCTATTTAAGAGACTGCTACTTAGTCTTATTCAAACCATAAGTGCACGACTCATTTATAATCAATTAACGAATGTACCAGTTGTGCAAGCCAGTCCATAAAAGCATAAGTTTCGCAAAAAAATGCGTTTAAAATTCAATAATGCAATTAATGGGTTTTTATTTTGTTATTCTTTCTCAATCCAACTTTTATTCCCAATTAATCGTGGAATTCGTGGTAATGAAGAGATATATATAGAGTGAGACAGAAAGACGTAAACATGAGACATTATATGAAGAATGATATCTAAAGTGTTGAGATACTGTATTGCAATAAATATATTTTTTACGAATTTATTCAACTAATTAACATGGAATTTAAACGATCTTTAAAACGTCTTTTTAATAATTAATTGAAAGTTCCCAGCCACTTTATTTTGGTTTAATTAAGTTGTAAAAATATAAAAAAAAAACTTCTTTCTTCGAAATAGAGAAGTTAAAAGAAGTAAGGAGGAGGAAAATAAAGAAAGACAGAAGGAGACGAAAAAAAAATTTGATATCACACTGTTTTATGATGCTCATTTCATTTTGTTCAACTTCCACCAGATAACTTTATATGTATATTTAAAATGTTTCTTTAAATTGAATTTTAAAAGTGTTTTATGAGACTTCAGGCTTCATCAATAAAGAAGGTGACAAACCATATATTTTCATAAAAATGAGAATGAAATCGATATGAACAAAAGTCAGCAAGAAAGAATTGTGTGTAAATTGAAACCTGTTTTAAATAAAATACCAATATTCATTCCCAAACGAACTATTTAAACGACGATGTTTGGCGATGAACATTAAGATATAAAAGCGATCTTCTCTCTGTTGTTAAATATATATAATTTTATGATACCTAATTAATTCATTGATTTTTATAACTTCTTCTCATGTCTGTTGTTGACCACATCGTCACAAACATATGCCTATAAATTAATTAAATTGATTCTCCTCCTTTCTTTTTTATTGAATAATTTTCTATCTCCTAATGATCCATTTTGGATATATCATTTAATATTCCATTCATTATAAAACATTTTTATGATCTTGTTCTGTATTTTTACACAACGACATGAGTGAGAAAACAAAATAAGCACGAGAGGTGCTTGAGAAATTTTTTTCTCCTCGTCATCATCGTTCCTTCTTTCCTGTATTCTGCACAATTCCTAACATTCTAAATATAATCATAATAATTGGAGCTAAAAAATCATCCTGAAACGATTTTCTACAATAAATTGGATAATAAATAATCTGCGCTCCATTTCGTGTGGAATTTTTCTTTCTTTAAAATTTTACCCATTTATGATCATCATCTTAATGCGATCATTCAGTAATTTCGGTTGTTTATTTTTATTTTTTGGTGTATTTATTAAAATTAAATATTATGAGAAATATTCCAAATATTCAAACCAATTGTTGCGGTACTTTCTCACTATGAAATAATCTAAATTCCTAGGTAATTTGTTTTGAATAAGCAAGTGGATGATTCATCATCGATATATTTATTTTATTTTTTTGGGAGACTACCAATTTTCTTCCGCGTGCGTATGTTAATGTAATTTTTGTTTTGATTTAAGTCTATAAATAAAAGATTAGTTCTCATGAGGTTGTATAAATTTGTCTTTAACTATGGGAATATGATAATCCGGATGGGATGTTTAAACTTTTGAATTGAATATTTGAATTTATTGTTGTTCCTGAATATTTGATTTCAATTACTGGGAGATAATAACTGATCTTAAAAGTTTAAGATTCTCAATTCTTCAAAATAACTTAAACTTTAATTACTAAGCTAATAATCATTGAACTTAATTCTAATATTTAATACTTAAAATTAACCAAAGGGAGTGAGACTGATCATTATATTCAAAAATGATCACAATCGTTCAAAATTGTTCAAAATAATCAAAAAGTGATTGATCACGTTCTGTTCCCAAATTTCAAACCATCACGTTTTCCCATCTAAATTTAGATCCTTTCTCGAAATCAACTGCAACTAATATAAAAATCCATTAAATACCCACGGCAATATGCAACTCATTAGCATTCAAATAAAAACATATCCGGATAAAATCCTCAAATTAATTTTCAAACCTCGTCTTCTGATATTATTAAATAGCATTGCTCTGCTCTTTTTCTTCTTTCCGTCTTCCTGAAAAAAATCTCTATCACTTATGAAAGAATTTTGATTATTGATCGATTTATATTACGAAGACATCGCTGCTAATAAAGAAGGAAATCATTTTTTTTTCTTCACTCCTCAATTTCTTATTTTCTCTGTCTATCACTTTATTCTGCTTATTTAGCATAATTTTTTGTGATTGTAAGATGAGTTCTGAGGAAGTTGGGTTTGAAGACTGACTAGGTTTTGGGTTGAGTAATATAAAAATCTAAATGCTATTGAAAATTTTAAAATTTTATGTCAATGCAAGACAATTGGTTTTTAACTTTAATACACGTTCTTTAAGCTCCTATAAACGAACTTATCACTGGTAATTCATGCCTAATTTTGTATCCATATTAAATCATGGTCATCATCCGCTCTACTAATTTTACTGATTTTGAAAAAAAGGCGAGAAAATGCGTTCAACAACTTTACACAACAAAAATCCTCATTCAACTTCCATACTTCAATTTTTTTACTCT